GTTCGCGCGCTTGTTGGCCGCGAGCGCCGACGGCGGCCGCGCGCGCTTCGTGCCCCAGGCGGCGAAGGAGAAGGCGGGCTTGTCCGCGGGCGCGTGGGCCTTCGCCGCGGCCGCGAGGAGGAGCTTCGTGTCGTCCGCGCCCTTGCCGAGGCGCGCCTTCGCCGGCGGCGCCGCGGGCCCCGGCGCCGGCGCCGGGTGCGCGTCGCGCTCGAGGAGCGCCTCGCGCTGGCGCACCTTGTGGAGCATGACCTGCTTCGCGAGGAGCTGCTTGAGGAAGGGCGCGACGGGCTCCTCCTCGACGCCGCCGAAGCGCGACGCGGCCGACACGTCGGGCCGCAGGTGCCACTGGGCGACGAGGGGCACGGCGCCGTCGACGGGCCCCCGGTGGCGCTCGAAGGTGAGGCCGTTGGCCGCGAGCACGGCCACCGTGCGCTCGAGCGCGTCGCGCTCGTGCGCCCGGAGCAGGTCGGGGTTGATCGCGCGGACGCGCGCGCCGAGCACGAGGCGCCGCAGCGGCGCGGCGACGTCCGTCGCGCAGACGACGGGGCCGAGGCGCCGCTGGGCGGCGGCGCCGCGCTGGCCCACGCGCGCGTCGTCGACGGCGGCCAGATCCGCGCGGACGCGGTCGCGGTCGCGCGCGAGCTGGCCGTGCTTCGTCGGCGGCGCCATCTTCGGCACCTGGTCGACGCGCATGCGCGAAAAGGCGGCCAACCCCGCGGCGGCGCCCGCGTAGGGCGCGAGCTCGAAGTGGCCCCGGCGGTGCGCGGTGCCGAGGAACGCGTCCGCGACGCTCAGGTCCTCGAGGAGGCCCGACGCCTTGTCCAGGGACGAGTCGTGGTAGGGCACCTGGACGTAGTTCTCGTGGACGCCGGCGACGACGCGGCCCGCGTCGCCGCTGAGCACGTCGCCCAGGAGCGCGGCGGCCTCCGACGCGCCGTCGACGGGCGCCCTGCCCTTGGCGTCGAGGCCGACGAGCTTGCGCTTCGTGGAGCCGCGCTTGAAGCAGCGCGCCCAGAGCTCGAAGTCGTCGGCGCCCTTGTCCTTGAAGCCCCGGTTCACGGCCGCGTAGACGGCCGTCGACGTCGCCGCGGCGGTCGCGCCCGGGGGCTGGCCCTGCGCGGCGAACTGGAGCGCGTGGATCGCCGCGCGGACGTCGCCGAGGGACGCGTCGGCGAGGGCGCTGATGGCCGCGGGCGACACGTCGACGCGCTCGCCCGCCGCGACGGCCTTCAACCGCGACGCGAGGCGCAAGTTGTGGGGCACCTTCCGGAACTGGAAGACGAGCGCGACCTCGCGGAGCGGCCGCATGTGGGGCGCGAAGGCGTCGTTGCAGACGCAGATCACGGGCCGCGTCAGCGGCGGCGGGCCCTTGGGGCCGCCGCGCGCCTTCCGCGGCGCGGCGCCGCCGCCGCCGTCGCCGTTGTCGCCGCCGAAGAACGCGGACGACCGCCGCTTCGCCGCCTTGGGCTCCGACTTGGCCGGCAGGGGCGCCTTGGCCATGGCGACGATGGCGTTGATGGCCGCCTTGCCGTCGGCGCCGTCGAGCTCGTCGAGGACGAGGCACGTCGGCTTCTCGCACAAACCCGACGCCTCGGGCTCGACATCCGCGCCGCCGTTGGACGACCGGCGGCGCCGCTTGAGCTCCGCGGCCTTGTCCGCGTCCTCGACGTCCCGGCGCGTCCGGAGCGTGCGGTTCTGCGCCGCGGTGCGCACCGCGGCCTCCAGGGCGTCCGCGGACCGCTCGTCGGACGCGTTCAGCTCGCGGACGCGGTAGCCCGCGGCCTCGGCGAGCACGTGCGCCAGCGTCGTCTTGCCCGTGCCCGGCTCGCCCGTGAGGAGGATGATGCGGCTCAGGGGCCGCTTGTCGTCGCCGATGGTCCGCGCCTCCTCGGCCGCGGCGCCGAACGGCGCGCCCTTGCCCGTGCCCTTGCCGCCCTTGAAGCCGCCGCCGCGGCCGCCCGGCGACCCGCGGCCGCCGCCGCGGCCCATGGCCACGGTGACGCAGTTCGTCGGCCGCTTCTTGTAGCCCTCGCCGTTGCGCGCGTTGAGCCGCCGCGGCGCGTCCAATCGCCGGCCGCCGGAGCTCGACCGCATCGCGTCGCGGTAGGGGTTGCCGCCGGAGGAGCCGCCGCCGCCGCCGCGGCCGCCGCTGCCGCCGCCGTAGGACTGGTAGACGGGCGCGCGCGGCGGCGGCGGCGCGGGCCGCTTGAAGACGTAGGGGTCCCAGTCCTTGAGCGCCCGGAGCACCTCGCGGTTCGACCGCTCGTCGCTCAGCAGGTGGCTGAAGGTCGACGGCGCGTACTTGTCGACCCAGAGCTGGCCGTCGAAGCGCCGCGCGTCGGCCATGGCGGCGTCGCGGTCCGGCGCCGCGGCGTCGTCGGCCGCGGCCGCGTCCGCGTCGGCCGCGAGCTCGGCCTTCAGCGCCGCGACGGACGTCGGGAGCAGGCCGCCGCCGGCGAAGGGGTTGGCCCGCGGCCCCGGATCCGGCCCCTCGACGCGCGCGAAGTAGCGGCTCCCGTCGAGGAGCGTCACGGCCGCGGACTCGCCGTCGACCGGCGGCCGGTCGAGGAGCGCCGCGTCCTCGACGGGCGCGCCGCCGTGCTTCTTCTCGAGGCGCCGGTCCACGGTACACTGGAGCTCCCGGGCCTCGCGCTTCAGCGACACCTTCTTCTCCTCCGTCGGGTTCCCGTAGTCGTCCTCGTCGCGCCACGCGCCGTCGTCCTCGTCCTCCTCGGCCG